GCTTTGTCTTCAGCGGTTGTGTCGGGAAGGTGAGCATCATAGAATGCCAATTTAATAGAAGAAAGTATTCTTGTGTTGAGGGAGTACTTGAGTGGGCTTTACATCTTTAACAACCAGACTCCTTTATCTCTTTTGGACAGCCCTGTGCTTAATCTACTGCACCACCAGGGTAATTACATACAGGTAATTCACCACCATTGAGTGGACTCTGACTCTTAGTGACCCTATAGGGCAAAGTAGACCTGCCACTGTGAGTTTCTGAGGCTATCATTAAGGGGGCAGAAAGCTTCATCTTTCTCTTGAAGAGTGATTAAATGGTGGGTTTGAACCACTCACCCAGTGGTTAGCCAACCAATGCATACCCCACTGCACCCAAGTGCTCCTGTACACACTGCCAGTCAGGAGAGTCGTAATTGGCTTTGTTGTCGATTGGTTTCTTTGCTTTCTCTTTGCCTCTCCCAACCAACCTCCTATAGAACCTAAAGCAAACCCAAACCAACAAACTCTCTTTCATCAAGCAAACTCTGACTAATATTGACCCCACAGGACATGGTAGAACTGCCCCTCTGCGTTTACGAGACTAACTCTTTATGAGAGTAGAAAGCCCTGTCTTTCTTCCTCAGAACAACTGGTGGTTTCAATCTGCTGACCTTGCAGTTAGCAGCCCAATGTCTGAACAATATGCTACCAGGCCCCTTATAAAACCCATGTTAGTCTGGGTAGACTAGAGAAACACATTCATGGACACGCTCATAGGTACAGGAAAGGGCTTTTTATACAAGAGCAGTGTAATATTGAGAAAACATCCCTGTCCAGTTCAGATCAAGATCATAAGTCCGATATTAGCCCATATGTCTGATACTAATCTATAAAGTCCTCTTCAGACTCATGAAACACATGCAATGACTCCAAATGCAGGAAGAATACAGGCCAATGGGTGGTAAATCTGGTGGATCCAGTGGTGGTATGAGCATCTCAGCACTGGCAGGGGTTACCACGTGGCTCCTCCAGTTCCTAGGGCACAGGGTCTATCAGTGTAATGCCATGTGTCTTGTCCATAGTGTCTCTCAGGGAGTGAGCCTAGAGAGAGAACGTCTCCGGCCTCTAAGGAAGAAATACCAGAGATCCCAGAATCCTCAGGAGAAGGCCATGCCCACACACAGGCCTCATTGCCTATGACCAGATCGACAGACTAGACTCTACCCCTTCACTCTTAATCCTCTTCAGTCCCAAATTGACACCAGATTATGTAACTTCCACAGACCAACTTCCTTAAATGGCAATTTATATCAAAAGTTAGTCATCTTTTTCCTTCATGAACTGCCCAGCTACTCGTAAACAAAAATCCTGAACTGGGAGTCAGAAACATTTTAATTTCGGCTCAATTTTAGCCCAAACTTTCTAGCCTTGTGACCTTGGTCCAGTCAGCCTGTGTTTCTTGACATCAGTATCTTCATTTGAAAAATAAAAGCACTGTGATAGGTGATATCAAGGTTCTTTCAGACCTAAAATTACTCGAAGGATAATTGTAGAAAATCCAAGAAGATGTTTTATGGTTATTAAGAGCAAACACCTTGGTACCAATCTAAATTAGAATTTGCCTTTGGGGAATTAGTTGAATAAGCCCCTCAAAGCACTTTTCTAAATGTAAATGAAATGACTAAGGTATAAATGAGAGCCACTTTTCCCCGGTGCCTTCGAGCAATGCTAACCCTCACCTTGGGCCTTCAGATATGGTCAGTGGCTCTGAATGCTATATCCAGCTTCATAATACGCTGGCCTAGGTGCCCACCAGTGCAGTGACCAGTCACCTTTGGAGAAGAAACATTACAGAAAAATAATTACTTTCCCTCACCTTTGAAGCTATTCCAATGTCAGAGGGGTTTCTGTTTTCTCCCCATTAAACCCAGCTGGTCATTTTAATTGATCAAGTGAACAGGCATCATTATCTTCAATTTTAATTTATATGAGGCATCCACTGAAATTGACCTCTGTGGACAATTACAGATTCACATAGGAAATTAAGACTAGTGAGTCCATGAAACCTATTAGAGGCTGATGAGCATGATCTGAACTAAAAGTAAGTAATGTTATATTTGGGGGGACAATTTATTCCAAGGACTGTTGGACCCTTTATTGGAGATGTCTGCCCTTTCTTACCTGCTTCTTGAAATCAAATGTAACACAGGTGACTTTAATAGGAAGACCCTGGTAAATGTTGATTGCTATGAAACTACGAGGGGGAGGTCATTTCTGAGATGCCCACGATTTACAACAAGCAGATTTGTATGCTTTAGAACATTGGGAGCAGATGCTTTTTTATACGATCCCAAATGAGTTGCTGTGTTCTGTGTTTGAAGCTTTGAAGTTAATAACTGGAACCATTCAATAAAGCATAGTAGACCATAATGTTATTTTTAAAATAATCACACCACTTGAGGCTCTAAGTAGAACTAAGAATTTCTATGTTGGCCCCATTATTTGCTTACACGAGAAAAGAGATTTAAGGTGAGGAAGTCACCTAGATGAAGTCACACAAAAACTCAGAGCTGGGACCAAAGCCCAGATAATCACCATCACACCGTGAAATGATTCAGAATAGGTAGCTAGACCTATGGAATTGCCTCTTCTTTAAAAAAATGTATGCACTATTTGATAACGGAGCCCTGATAGCATAGTGGTTATGTGTTGGGGTGCTAACTGCAAGGCTATAAGTTCAAAACCACCAGCTGCTCTGAGAGCAAAAGATAAGACTATCTACCCCGTAAAGAGTTAAGGTGTTGGCTACTCACAGAGAATCAGTTCTGTCCTGTGCTATACGGTCACTATTGACTCGATGGCAGTGAGTTTTTCACTTGGTATATACCCTGTGATTCCTAATATTGTTTGTCATCATGTAAACTTCAGATTTGCAAAAGACTCCCTTGTGCCAATAAAAAGCTTCTAACTGGCATTTTAGAACAACTATCTAATTCTAGCCAAAGTGATGTTGTTAGGGATTTAGGAGTCTGTTTCG